GCGACCATCACCACCACCACCCCCACATACATCACCACCACCACCATCATCAGCAGCAGCAGCCCGGAGTGCCAGGCCCACCCTCGGGTGTTCATTACGCGACCAGCAGACAAAGGGATCGCGTTATCCGCCGAGCCTAGCCTAGCCTCCTCGCCAGGAGCCCCCCCTTCTCTCGAGCCACGCCGTGAAACAAGACCCCGACAGGCCCCTGGCCATTACACAGACAGACACACACGCAGATAGATAAGAGAGCAAGAGAGAGAGAGAAGTCACACACACAGAGACACACAAAGAGAGAGAGACACGCACAGAGATGGAGAAAGGCACACGCACAGAGACAGACACACACGAGATACCACATAACAGACAGACACAAAACACACACACAGATTGCGAGACACAGACACACACACAGAGACACACACACAGAGGTACAAGCAGAGAGAGATACGCACATCGACACAGAGACAAACATAGCAGCGACAGCCGCACATATACACAGTATCAACAAAGACCCCCCTCCCCATGTAGCCTCAACAGACTGTAGGGGCAAGTGCTGTCAGCGAGCACCTATGAAGGCCGGCACGGTACACGAGGGGGTGGGAGGCCAGCCGCCTTTGTCTCCCCAGTGGCGATGTTTACTACACACCACACCAGGTACTCATTTGAGGCCGAGTCGACCTAGGGGAGGCCCAGGACCGGTTCATATGAATAGTCGCTGATGTTGGTGGCCGTGAGTGGGAATTGAACTCGGGTGGCCGGGTTCACAGCACTCACCGCTGCCCCACCGCTCCCCATGTAAACACAGAGACAGGTACACAAGGAACACAGGAGCAGACACAATAAACACAAAGACACACACACGTTGTGTTATCTATGTACTCTACCCGTGCCATGAACCAAGACCTAGGCCGCTGTGATCATTGCAGAGAGAGTGATATAACACAGGCAGACAGACACACGTACAGACACACTCACAGAAACACATACAGTACAAAGACAAAGATGCCCCGGATAGCCTTAACAAACTGTGTGTGTGTACAAAGCCACAGAAAATACAAGACAAAGACCCACACACACACACAAGAGACACGGACAAAGCACACGGACAGTAACGCAAGCACAGAGACAAAGACACACACACACACGGGCTCCATCGCAGAGAAGGCGATGAAGAGGTGGGGAGGTGTGTGGGTAGGATTAGCAGCGGCAGCGGATTATGGAGGTGATGCAGATAGGAGAATCAATATGAGCAGGAGGACAGTGTACGAGGTTGTAGGAAGGTGTTAGATGAGGTGGGCAAGGTACGCTAATAAGGATGAGATTTTGTAAAATCGTAGATGGATGAGGCGAAGGAGGAGGTATGGGGCAGGCTTTAGCAGCAGGATGATGAGGAGGTGTAGATGTCAAAGAGATGTAGAAGGGATATACCCTCTCTCTGTATAGAATGAGGTGGTAACAGCAGATGCCGAAGGATGTGTGTACATGGCGGAGAAGAGGAGGTGGTGGTGGTAGTGTGTGTTGCAAGTGGAGAAGAGGTGGTGGTGGTGTGAGTGTAGATGGAGGAGGTGGTGGTGTGAGTGTAGATAGAGGAGGTGGTGGTGTGAGTGTAGATAGAGGAGGTGGTGGTGTGAGTGTAGATAGAGGAGGTGGTGGTGTGAGTGTAGATAGAGGAGGTGGTGGTGTGAGTGTAGATGGAGGAGGTGGTGGTGTGAGTGTAGATGGAGGTGGTGGTGGTGAGTGTAGATGGAGGTGGTGGTGGTGTGAGTGTAGATGGAGGTGGTGGTGGTGTGGGTGAGTGTAGATGGAGGTGGTGTGAGTGTAGATGGAGGTGGTGGTTTGTGAGTGTAGATGGAGGGTGGTGGTGCGAGTGTAGATGGAGGGAGGTGGTGGTTGTGAATGTAGATGGAGGTGGTGGTGGTGCGAGTGTAGATGGAGGTGGTGGTGTGGGGTGAGTGTAGATGGAGGTGGTGTGAGTGTAGATGGCGGTGGTAGGAGGTGGTGGTGTGAGTGTAGATGGAGGTGGGTGGTGTGAGTGTAGATGGAGGGGTGGTGGTTGTGAGTGTAGATGGAGGTGGTGGTGGTGTGAGTGTAGATGGAGGTGGTGGTGTGAGTGTAGATGGAGGTGGTGGTTGTGAGTGTAGATGGAGGAGGGTGGTGGTGTGAGTGTAGATGGAGGTGGTGGTGGTGTGAGTGTAGATGGAGGTGGTGGTGGTGTGAGTGTAGATGGAGGCGGTGGTGGTGTGAGTGTAGATGGAGGAGGTGGTGGTGTGAGTGTAGATGGAGGAGGTGGTGGAGTGAGTGTAGATGGAGGTGGTGGTGGTGTGAGTGTAGATGGAGGTGGTGGTAGGAGGGGGGTGTAGATGGAGGTGGTGTGAGTGTAGATGGTGGTGGTGTTAGTGTAGATGGAGGTTGTGTGAGTGTAGATGGAGGAGGTGGTAGGGGGGGGTGTAGATGGAGGTGGTGGTAGGAGGGGGGTGTAGATGAAGGAGGTGGTAGGAGGGGTGTAGATGGAGGAGGTGGTAGGAGGGGTGTAGATGAAGGAGGTGGTAGGAGGGGTGTAGATGGAAGTGGTGGTGTTAGTGTTAGTGTAGATGGAGATGGTGGTGGTGTTTGTGTAGATGTAGATGGTGGTGTTAGTGTTAGTGTAGATGGAGATGGTGGTGGGTGTTAGTGTAGATGGAGATGGTGGTGTTAGTGTTAGTGTAGATGGAGATGGTGGTGGTGTTAGTGTAGATGTAGATGGTGGTGGTGTTAGTGTAGATGGAGGTGGTGGTGTTAGTGTAGATGGAGGTGGTGGTGTTAGTGTTAGTGTAGATGGAGATGGTGGTGGTGTTAGTGTAGATGGAGGTGGTGGTGGTGGTGTTAGTGTAGATGTAGATGGTGGTGGTGTTAGTGTAGATGGAGATGGTGGTGGTGTTAGTGTAGATGTAGATGTTGGTGGTGTTAGTGTAGATGGAGGTGGTGGTGGTGTTAGTGTAGATGTAGATGGTGGTGGTGTTAGTGTAGATGGAGATGGCGGTGGTGTTAGTGTAGATGGAGGTGGTGGTGGTGTTAGTGTAGATGGAGGTGGTGGTGGTGTTAGTGTAGATGTAGATGGTGGTGGTGTTAGTGTAGATGTAGATGTTGGTGGTGTTAGTGTAGATGGAGGTGGTGGTGGTGTTAGTGTAGATGGAGGTGGTGGTGGTGTTAGTGTAGATGGAGATGGCGGTGGTGTTAGTGTAGATGGAGGTGGTGGTGGTGTTAGTGTAGATGGAGGTGGTGGTGGTGTTAGTGTAGATGGAGGTGGTGGTGGTGTTAGTGTAGATGGAGGTGGTGGTGGTGTTAGTGTAGATGGAGATGCTGGTGGTGTTAGTGTAGATGGAGATGGCGGTGGTGTTAGTGTAGATGGAGATGGCGGTGGTGTTAGTGTAGATGTAGATGGTGGTGTTAGTGTAGATGTAGATGGTGGTGGTGTTAGTGTAGATGGAGATGGTGGTGGTGTTAGTGTAGATGTAGATGTTGGTGGTGTTAGTGTAGATGTAGATGGTGGTGGTGTTAGTGTAGATGTAGATGGTGGTGGTGTTAGTGTAGATGGAGATGGCGGTGGTGTTAGTGTAGATGGAGATGGTGGTGGTGTTAGTGTAGATGGAGGTGGTGGTGGTGTTAGTGTAGATGGAGATGGCGGTGGTGTTAGTGTAGATGGAGATGCTGGTGGTGTTAGTGTAGATGGAGGTGGTGGTGGTGTTAATGTAGATGTAGATGGTGGTGGTGTTAGTGTAGATGGAGATGCTGGTGGTGTTAGTGTAGATGGAGATGCTGGTGGTGTTAGTGTAGATGTAGATGGTGGTGGTGTTAGTGTAGATGGAGATGGTGGTGGTGTTAGTGTAGATGGAGATGGTGGTGGTGTTAGTGTAGATGGAGATGGTGGTGGTGTTAGTGTAGATGTAGATGGTGGTGGTGTTAGTGTAGATGGAGGTGGTGGTGGTAGGAGGGGGTGTAGATGGAGGAGGAGGGATGGAGGGGAGGGGAGACCGGAAGGGCACGCGTGAGCAGCTGAGCGGGGGTGGAAACCCGGTTAAACCCCCAACACACACAATACACACATTACACACACACTACACACACACAATACACACATTACACACACACATTACACACACATACAAAATACACACGCGTGTACACAAAACACATACATCGTCACAACACAACACACACAACATAATACAACACGCGATACAGAATACATACGGACAATACAATAGGCAGAAACATACAATGCGCAAAAATGCACACGCAACACGCACACGCAACACAATATACACACACGAGACGAACTGCACACACACGTACAAACACACACACACACAGTACGGTACGTACAAAGCTTCGATTCCCCCCATTGCCTTAAAGCAAGCGCACACAGTACATACACATACAGTATACTAACACACACACTGTACAAAGACAAAGATCCCCCGTGTAGCCTGAACAGACTGTAGGAGCAAGTGCTGTTAGCGAGCACCTATGAAGGCCGACACGGCACACGAATGTGGTGGGTGGACAACACCACGCCCGGCCGCCTTTGTCTCCCCAGTGGCGATGTTTACACAACGCACTTAGATACACATTTGAGGCCGAGTCGACACACACATCATATCATATCCACAACACACACACACCAAACGGCATATACACACACACACCAAACGTCATATACACACACACACGACGCTAGCTTCCACCGCCTTTGGGAGGCCCAGGTCATGGAACGTCAGGTCAAGTGCACGTCACATCACCACCAAAGGGGGGCGGCCTCAGCATTCTGTGGTCCGGCATCGTTCTCCGGCTTACGTGGGATCGGCGTCTCTCCTCGTCGACTCACGACCCGGAGACACCACACACACACGCATGGCCAGGTCAAGTAGGGCGACGCCACACAGAGTCCAGGGTCAGGTCAATCGGTCATCACAGGTCACTCCCCACCCCCACCACTCTCCTCCTCACTCTCGACTCACCGACTTGCAGTACGTTATCCACGCATCCGCCTTCAAGAAGTCGCACGCCGCGATTGAAGGGCAGCTTGCTTCCTCCTCGCCGTCCTCGGCCGAGCACTCGAGCGACGAGTACATGCACACCTCGCGTTCGCTGCGAGGAAACGACCAGAACACGATCCGCCTCTGCACGGGCTCAGGAATATGCGTGAAACGCTCCTCGACGCGCTGGAACGGCCACTTCTCGGCCACCCGCTTGGCGCTCAGATCCAGCAGCGACTCGGGACTGTGGCCGGCGCCCGACGCCGCGGTCCTGCGCGGTGAGAGAGGCGCCGGGAAGGGCCGACAGCACGGCCGCTTCGCGGGAGGCTCCGAGCGCTCCGCCATGCTGCCTCGCTCTGAACCCGTCCGCACGGAAGCGAAGCGGCTCAAGGCGACGCCCCGCCCCCCAACAACGATGCCCCGCCCCCCAACCACGATGCCCCGCCCCCCAACCACGATGCCCCGCCCCCCAACAACGATGCCCCGCCCCCCAATAACGACGCCCCGCCCCCCAACCACGATGCCCCGCCCCCCAACCACGATGCCCCGCCCCCCAACCACGATGCCCCGCCCCCCAACAACGATGCCCCGCCCCCCAACAACGATGCCCCGCCCCCTAATTGTGGACACGCCCTCTCCCCCCTTTAATGGACACGCCCTCCCTCCCCCCTTTAAATGGACACGCCCCCCCCCCCCACATTTTCCCCCACCTCCCCCCCCCACCTTCACGGTGGACACCACGCTACCCTACCCCCACCACCCCCACCTCTGCAGTGGACACTGCGCGCGCCCTCCCCTATGCGGTGGAAACCTCCCCCCCAGCCCCTCCCCCAGCCCCCCCCAGCCCCTCCCCCAGCCCCCACCTCACAGCCTTAGTCACGCCTACTAGCTAGCCACACCCATCTATGGACTCCGTTCCGCTTAATCAAATTTGTAAATGAGAAACCCGAATCATAACAGAATAACAAAACTAATTTAGAATACTGTGTATAATAAGCGATGTTCTGGGCGATAAGCACTTTGTGCTGCGCAGGACCGTAACACTAAAACGTCGTCCGTTTATTTATATTTTAGTTTTTTTTTAAAGGCCACGCACGGTTTTTGTTGTTGTTGACAAACGTGTTTTGTTGAGTTTGTTGTTAGTTATGCCAGGGCACCAGTGTCAACGCAGCAGCAGCATCATCATCTCCAGGTCATGTCTAACAGGAGAATAGTGCAGGCCGGAAAACGGAGGTTTAAACAACGCGCAGGGAAACGTGGACACAAAGCTGTCAGCAAAATGGGACCTAGTTTCTATTGCCAGAAAGGGTAAATTAACCTCTTCTTATTTTGCCTTTTCGCATTACGCAAAAAAAAAAACCCATCGGCAGTTTTGAGATCACCATCAAAATAAATGTAAAGTTTTTTTATCAATAAGTAATTTTACATTTAATATGAATTCAGCGCTATGAAGAAGGACCATTGCCCCCGAAACGAAACCTCATTTATACTTCAGTGCCGTTGACAGGTTTATTGACAAATGTGTTCAGCTTTCGTCGTGTTAACTACGGCTTGGTGCAGCAGCAGCAGCAGCACCAACACAATCTATCCAAATGTACATAAAAAAAACAAGCTTTAAACCAATCCAATCACGTGACAGAGGAGTAAGTGCTAGATTTGAAGCTTTCGTGACTGCAAGGATTCATATTCTTAGGTTTTTTCGGTAAAGTCACGTAGGTAAAAAATTCAAATTAATAAAAGTAAAATAAAAATAAAAGAATATAAAATAATATAATATAATAATTAAATAATTCCCTTTTTTTACCTACGTGACTTTACCGAAAAAAAACCTAAGAATATGAATCCTTGCAGTCACGAAAGCTTCAAATCTAGAATCTTTTGAGTTTCCCCCACACTCAAGAGAGAGACGCAAATTAGTACAACTTGCATAACCAGGGTTAGCCCACTGCTGGATAAATAACTCTTCCCCCCTCTCCTCCACATCCACAATCTACCATCTCGCACTACACTGCGGACGTAACTCCTAAGCCATTGCAAGCACGAACACGCGAGATCATTTTAGTCGCTCCGTCTCCTTAGGGGTTGGAACGTGCCCGGGGTCCTTGTCCGGGACGCTTTTGACACGGCTGACGAATGGCTTTTCAATTAAATTTCGATTTAAAGCTTTCGTGACTGCAAGGATTCATCTTCTTGGTTCTTTCGGTAAAGTCACGTAGAATGGAAATAATAAAATAAAAAAAATAAAACTATTACATAATTATCCCAGCTTAAATAGACGCTCCAAGCCCAGGACGTGTCATTCAGACGCTGTCTTATCGACAGACATGTTCTTCACCTGAGGACAGCTACTTGCGTTGTTGTCGAAACGTCGTGAGAATTATTTTATTATGTTTAATGTTTATTATTTTAATTCTACGTGACCTTACCGAAAGAACCAAGAAGATGAATCCCTGCAGTCACGAAAGTAGCTTTAAATCGAAGGGATGGGGGTGGTTTTGATGTCATTGACAGGCTGTAATAATTGCCGTGTCCGCCTTATTTAAGGCACGTGGGATGATTAGACGCACCCTCGACGTTTGATTTAAAATACGGTGGTGGTGTTGTGCGCCTGACTAACTCGCTGTTCATGGGAACCACGGGATAAGCGTGGTGTGGCCGTAAGGCAGGGGTGGATATTTATAACATAATTCGCGGGCCATACAAAATTACCAACTTAAAAATGGCCTGTTATATTTGTATTCTTGGTTCTTTCGGTAAAGTCACGTGGAAGGGAAATAATAAAATAATACAAATATAAAACAATTGTTTTATATTAGTATTATTTTCTACGTGACTTTACCGAAAGAACCAAGAATATGAATCCCTGCAGTCACGAAAGCTCTAAATCAAAATCTGTTATATTTGGTCAAACATTTAATTAACTCAACCCCTAATGTTGTAATTGCTTCTCTTTGGGTGAGACGTGTGATGTCAGCTGGTATTGATGATGTTGCTGCTACTCGCAAATGCTTTTCCAGGTTTGCTTCTAGTTTTATTGAATTTCGAGTCTCGCCTGCGGTTGTCTTGGCAGGGCCCTAAGGGATGGGCTGGCCCCTGGGGGTCGAGACTCAGCACGGAGCGGCAGTCAAAGGGTGACAATAAGTGTACGTCCGCCGCGAGAGACGGAGCGACGAGGTCAAGCCTCGTGGGAGGAATCCTGGGTGGATTGATGGATCGTGGGATACGTGGGAGTGTTGGCAGCAGCTTGGGAGGGGATTCTTTCATCCAGCAGTGGAGTGATGATGGGTTGATGGTTGATCAACGTGGTGAGTTTATTTTAATTTAATGTTTGTGCTCTTTTGCCACTGCCAAAGCATTTGGGTTCGTCTGTTTGTGTTCCTCGTGCCGCTGCGCGTTCTACAAACATTACAATGACAAAATAATCTCAATGTTTACAATCGACTCTACTGTATCTCGAGCGAGGGTGACGTCATCTGAGGACAAAAAAGTAACGCGCGGTGACGTCATCACATTTCGGAACAACGACGCTGTGTCGTCGTGACGTAACGGCGCGGTGTCAACAAAGCGACGTGACGTCATCTCAGAGCAATGCGACGAGCTGGGGGAAGAGTTGAACGTCATCGCGTTTTTTGTTAGCTCTGCGGTGCGTGACGCAGCGGCGTCTGATTGGCAGTTGTCGCGACCTCGGACGCGGTGACGTCACCGCGCCTCTGTGTTTTCCGACCGAAGTGACGTCACTACGCCTTGTTCCGCAGAGACCACGCCCCCCATGGCCGTGAAGCCATCGGCAGCCAATGACAAGCTCCGCCCACCCGTATACAAGCTCCGCCCACCAGTATACAAGCCCCGCCCACCCGTATACAAGCCCCGCCCACCCGTCTACAAGCCCCGCCCACCATAAAGGGGGCATGCTCCCCCTTATTTGGAGCCACGTTTAACTTGGTTTAAAGGGCCACCCAACACCCCCTCTCAATAAAGTAAGCTCCGCCTATGATTATACCACCCAGCCCCCCCTCTCAATCAATTAAGCTCCGCCTATGATTATACCACCCAGCCCCCCCTCTCAATCAAGTAAGCTCCGCCTATGGTTATACCACCAACCCCCCCTCTCAATCAAGTAAGCTCCGCCTATGATTATACCACCCAGCCCCCCCTCTCAATCAAGTAAGATTCGCCTATGATGATACCACTCACCCCCCCCCCCCCTCTCAATCAAGTAAGCTTCGCCTATGATAATACCACCCAGCCCCCCTCTCTCAATCAAGTAAGCCTCGCCTATGATGATACCACCCAGCCCCCCTCTCTCAATAAAGTAAGCTCCGCCTATGATTATACCACCCAGCCCCCCTCTCTCAATCAAGTAAGCTCCGCCTATGATGATACCACCCAGCCCCCCTCTCTCAATAAAGTAAGCTCCGCCTATGATTATACCACCCAGCCCCCCCTCTCAATCAATTAAGCTCCGCCTATGATTATACCACCCAGCCCCCCCTCTCAATCAAGTAAGCTCCGCCTATGGTTATACCACCAACCCCCCCTCTCAATCAAGTAAGCTCCGCCTATGATTATACCACCCAGCCCCCCCTCTCAATCAAGTAAGATTCGCCTATGATGATACCACTCACCCCCCCCCCTCTCAATCAAGTAAGCTTCGCCTATGATAATACCACCCAGCCCCCCTCTCTCAATCAAGTAAGCCTCGCCTATGATTATACCACCCAGCCCCCCTCTCTCAATCAAGTAAGCCTCGCCTATGATTATACCACCCAGCCCCCCTCTCTCAATCAAGTAAGCCTCGCCTATGATTATACCACCCAGCCCCCCTCTCAATCAAGTAAGCTTCGCCTATGATTATACCACCCAGCCCCCCTCTCTCAATCAAGTAAGCTCCGCCTATGATGATACCACCCAGCCCCCCTCTCTCAATCAAGTAAGCCTCGCCTATGATTATACCACCCAGCCCCCCTCTCAATCAAGTAAGCTTCGCCTATGATTATACCACCCAGCCCCCCCTCTCAATCAAGTAAGCCTCGCCTATGATTATACCACGTAAGGACACCTTTATAAGGCGGCAACGCGTCTAAATCATTAAATGTGTATTTGTTGCGCGGAATAAAGTGAGGTTTAGCCAGTTGCCCAGCTAGGAGTTTGCAAGGGAAGATTCATGGTGCATCGGCACAGAACTGGAGTTAGAATATTTATTTGTATTGAAGGAATCCGATGAGCTATGAAGCTCTTTTAAACACAACGTAAGAAGAACAACGTACGGATGAAGAGGCAACAACGGAGAGAGAACGCGTGAGAGATGCGGGCTAAAGTTGTCTTTAAGGAACAAAAACACATTAATGTTAAGAAAATATACAGCAGGCACATCGCACCAACAACAATGACGAGGTTGATGAGACGAAGCGAACGCGATCCAGCGAATAAAATGACAACAACCATCACGGGACCGGGATACGTGCATTATAACATGAATTACAAATACATGTATACTGTAAGGATACATTTCACTGTTATCTAATTTTAACATGTATTTTCATTTTTCGATTTAAAGCTTTCGTGACTGCAGGGATTCATATTCTTGGTTCTTTCGGTAAAGTCACGTAGAAGGGAAATAATAAAATAATAAAAATAAACCAATTAAATAATCACGACGTTTCGATTGCAACACAAGCAATCAAAAACGCCACTTTAAAAAAAATTGCTGTGGTTTTCACAGCTGATGATGATTGCTTGTGTTGCAATCGAAACGTCGTGAGAATTTTATTGTTTTATTTTTTTTATTTTATTATTTTCCTTCTACGTGACTTTACCGAAAGAACCCAGAATATATATTTTCATTTTAAGGCCACACTGTTTGACGACCGTGTTGAGGTTATTGTTCGTGATTTGGCAAACAAATAAAAGCCTGAACAGACTGTTGGGGCAAGTGGTGTTAGTGAGCACCAATGAAGGCCGGCACGGCACACGAGGGGATTGATGGACAGCAACCACGCCCGGCCGCCTTTGTCTCCCTCGTGGCGATGTCTACACATCGCACCAGGCAGTCATTTGAGGCTGAGTTGACCTAGGGGATGGCCATGGCCGGTTCAGATAATCGTCACCGGTGTTGGCCGTGAGCGGGAATCGAACTCGGTTCACCGGGTTCGTAGCGCAGCGTAGCGCTAACCGCTGCACCACCGCTCCCCGCTGTTGCACCGCTGCCAACACAGTAATCACCAAACATAATCTGCTTTAACCTTAACAACATCAGCTGGCGGTGCTACGTGTGTACATTGAACTACTTTCGCACCGTACGTAGCCAGCCGTGCTAATCGGACGCTTTAAAAGAAACAAAACATAGGCGACGTTTCGGGCAATGACCCTTTTTGTGATAGCAAAAGGCAACGTGATCGCACAAAGGGTTATTGTTATGACGAAGGTCCATTTCCCGAAACGTCGCCTCTGGTATATTACATAACTGTATATGTTTCAAGTACTTTGTATATATTTTTTAACAATCCCTTTTAAGGACACGGCGGTGCTGTCACTGGCAACCGTGTTGATGTTTGTTTTGTTTTAATTTAAAGGGCTTCCCATCCACTTCCCACGTAAAGCTCCACCCAAAGCCCCACCCCCCACCACCCAAAACCCCACCCCCCACCACCCAAAGCCCCACCCCCACCACCCAAAGCCCCACCACCCAAAGCCCCACCCCCCACCACCCAAAACCCCACCCCCCACCACCCAAAACCCCACCCCCCACATGGTGGGGTGGGGGCCCAGGGCTACCCGCCCAGTCGCCACACCATATAAGGACACGCGCGCCTTATAAGGACGCGCCGTAGTTCTCAGCGTAACGCCACCGTATAGCAACAGCCGTGGTTGAAAATGTAATCATTAAATTGAATAGGAGGGGTGTTAGTAGGGGGGGGGTCACCATTCCTTCTATAGACCTTCACGAGACAATGGACTCACAAAACGAGTTCCCTGCAGGATCTAATGTGTGTAGGGTTGGTGGTGGTGGTGGTAGTGGGGGATTTGTGTCTTGGCTTTAGCTGTGCGAGTCTTGCGTGTTTGTGTGTTTCTTCGTGTGTGTATGTTAAAACGCGTGTGTGTGTGTATGTTAAAACGCGTGTGTGTTTCTGGGGTCCCCTAGGATGGGGAGCGGTGGCGGAGCGGTTAGCGCCACGCTGCGCTACGAACCTGGCGACCCGAGTTCGATTCCCGCTCACGGCCAACATCAGTGACGATTATCTGAACCGGTCCTGGGCCTCCCCTAGGTCAACTCAGCCTCAAATGAGTACCTAGTGCGGTGTGTAAACATCGCCACCGGGAAGACAAAGGCGGCCGGGGTGGTGTTGGCCACCCACCTCCTCGTGTACCGTTCCGGCCTTCATAGGTGCTCGCTAACAGCACTTGCCCCAACAATCTGTTAAGGCTACATGGGGGATCTTTGTGTGTGTGTGTATAAATGTGTCATCCTGTCCATTTGTCAACGTCCTCACGTGTGTGTCAGTGTGTGGATGTCGGTACAGTACCGTATATGAAACGTGTGTTATTTTGTGGTCTTATGTGAATGTGTGTGTATGTAGGTGAGCGGTGGCACAACGGTTAGCGCACCGTGCCACGGACTCTGTAAGTTGCCTTCTACCTAAAATGATTGCCTGGTGCGATGTCTAAGCATCACCTCTGTGTATTTTATCGGCCTTAATAGGTTTTCGCGGAGAGAACTTGCCCCATATAGTATCTGTGTCAATGTGCGCAGTGTTTCAATGCTGTCCCATCCTTGTGTGCTTGCATAGCAACAATGGTTAGCAATTGTTAGTAACTTCCATGAAAGGCATCCTACAGAAAAGGCTCAGTTCCTCTCACTGCTGCCATGTGTTATGCTATTCTGGATTGCTCACTCGATTTCCATTGTGCACAGCTTTGGTTATTAATTATATTATTATGTGTTCGTCACGTTTATATAAAAAAAAACGTCCACGCTTTTATATGCAGCCCCTGGAAAACCCTCCCCATGTAACATGCTGGTGAACGTGGTATCAGCTGTTCCGTACAGCCCCTGTAAACCCTCCTTCCCATGTAACATGCTATTATCAGCTGTTCTGTACAGCCCCCGTAAACCCTCCCCATGTAACATGCTGGTGAATGTGGCATCAGCTGTTCTGTACAGCCCCTGTAAACCCTCCTTCCCATGTAACAAGCTGGTGAACGTGGTATCAGCTGTTCTGTGCAGCTGCTGTAAACCCTCCCCATGTAACATGTTGGTGAACGTGGTATTATCAGCTGTTCCGTACAGCCCCTGTAAACCCTCCCCATGTAACATGTTGGTGAACGTGGTATCCCAGCTGTTCTGTACAGCCCCTGTAAACCTTCCCCATGTAACATGCTGGTGAACGTGGCATCAGCTGTTCTGTACAGCCCCTGTAAACCCTCCCCATGTAACACGCTGGTGAACGTGGCATCAGCTGTTCCGTACAGCCCCTGTAAACCCTCCCCATGTAACATGCTGGTGAACGTGGCATCAGCTGTTCTGTGCAGCCCCTGTAAACCCTCCCCATGTAACACGCTGGTGAACGTGGTATCAGCTGTTCCGTACAGCCCCTGTAAACCCTCCCCATGTAACATGCTGGTGAACGTGGTATCAGCTGTTCTGTACAGCCCCTGTAAACCCTCCCCATGTAACACGCTGGTGAACGTGGCATCAGCTGTTCTGTACAGCCCCTGTAAACCCTCCCCATGTAACACGCTGGTGAACGTGGTATCAGCTGTTCCGTACAGCCCCTGTAAACCCTCCCCATGTAACATGCTGGTGAACGTGGTATCAGCTGTTCTGTGCAGCCCCTGTAAACCCTCCCCATGTAACATGCTGGTGAACGTGGTATCAGCTGTTCTGTGCAGCCCCTGTAAACCCTCCCCATGTAACATGCTGGTGAACGTGGTATCAGCTGTTCTGTGCAGCCCCTTTAAACCCTCCCCATGTAACGTGCCTGCCGCGTTGACCCGGTCGCCAGTGAAAACGAGCTTCTTAGATCAATGGACCTAACCTGAAATAAACACTCACTGTACTACTGACTTTTGTTGTGTGTGGTGTATTGAGGTAGATTATAAACCGGTTAGGTGGGCAGCTTTACCCGAAACGGTTAATCCAACAGATTACACAGAAGAGATTAAACACACATCCTACACCAGTTGATGATGAGACATAGCAACATACCAACAACCCGCCATTCGCCACGAAGTGACGGTAACATCACCACGGCGCCTGTGCCAGGCTAGGTACACTTTGAGGCTACCACGTGAAGTGTCGAAAGCTCGCTGCTGACAGGAGATCTCGGGACAGACCCAGCAGGTGCCACGGGTTGACTGAGATGACCGGTAGATGCGCCACCAGCTGTACCCCCTTACTGTGCCAGGCTAGGTGCAAGAGATCTTGGGACAGACCCAGCAGGTGCCATGGGTTGGCCGAATGAGATGCCCGGTAGATGCACCACCAGCTGTACTGCCTACTGTGCCAGGCTAGGTGCAGGAGATCTTGGGACAGACAAAGCAGGTGCCATGGGTTGGCCGACTGAGATGACCAGTAGATGCACCACCAGCTGTAACCCCCCACTGTGCCAACTTTCTGCATTTTAGTCGCCCGGCGCTCCGCTCGTTGTTGTGAGCGTCGCTCCTCTGCCTTCCGTTGTTGTTGGAGGGCGACTGCCTCCAAATGCCCAGTAGCGTCCTTCACGAGCCTCCTCCTCCACAGAGGCTGATCTTGACACCGCTGGTACCGGTCATCGGCAAGTCCACTCAGCTCCACGTCCTCCCGTAGCGCATCACTCCATCTCAGCAACATTCCACACCACATTTTACACACACCCGCCAGTTTACAGCTTGCATTACACTACAGCGACACTCCACACATAATATGCACAAGTGGCACAAGTGACACAGGTTACACGTTCAGAATTAGAACCTTTATCCCGGGGGAAAAAAATCCGATGAGCTATAAAGATCTTTCCCCACAAATGTCCAGTAAGGGCGGGTCATAAAGTTCCAACAACAAACAATACAACAAAAACCTGATAGCAGTGCAAATTATAAGAAAAGTAAGCAAATCACAAAAAATTAATGAACTGTTTTATTTTACCAGGTAACGCCCACTGAGTTATTGTTTATTTTTCATACCTGGCCGCAAATGATAGCTCAACGAAGTGACTAATCATGTGGAAATGTCTAGCAGCCAAATAATCTAAACGCATTTTGATTTTAAACGTGGAAGAGGAAAAAATTAACCCGTAAAAACAAAGTTTTTCACTATAAATACTTTATATGCGTGGCGGCTTGAGTCCTCTCGTCCTCTCGCTTGAGATGGCTGCCACCTATGGGTCAAATGATTGTCTGCCAGCATTAAGCAATTGGTAATAAAATATTTTTTAAAAATTCCCTAAACAGTGTAAAATTTTGGAAAAAAATTTTCACGAAAATTAATTGTCACGCACAACGAGTCTGTGTGGGAAATGTCAGCTCGATTTGATCACGGGAAGTGGGTTAAAAAACGACCGAAAGATTTGCACGGTCGTAAGCAAGCAAGCAAGCATGCAAGCAAGCAAGCAAGCGAACTTAATATAAAGGATTTTAAATAAGTATAACCCGTAAAAACAAAGTTTTTCACTATAAATCCTGTATATGCGTGGCGGCTAGAGTCCTTTCGTCCTCTGGCTTGAGATGGCTGCCACCTATGGGTCAGATGATTGTCTGCAGTATTAAACAATTGGTAATTAAATATTTAATTTGTTTTCCCTAAACAGTGTAAAATTTTTAAAATTTTTTTTCACGAACATTAATTGTCACACACAACGAGTCTGTGTGGAAAATGTCAGCTCGATTGGATCACGGGAAGTGGGTTAAAAAAACGACCGAAAGATTTGCACGGTCGTAAGCAAGCAAGCAAGTGAACTTAATATAAAGGATTTTAAAAAACCGGAGGACCCAGAGACCAAAAAAAAATCCACTCGACCAGCGGGGAGAAAATGGGAACCCCAAAACACACCACAACATCATCACACACTTGATAATTCATCACATTATCACACGAAGATGGGTACACCATGGGTGGTGCAAACACACCACAGATCTCACACAGAACAATGTGACTTATACACACATATAGCTCACACATATACACACACACATTACATTCCACATCACAAAGACACACACACACAAGCACGCCAGAGATCACACAGTCCACATCTCACACACACGCCATACATCACACACACTCCACATCGCAGTTCACACAGACACGTATACTACAGATCACACACACACGTATACTACAGATCACACACACGCAGCCCACATCAGCTTACACAGATACACCATAGATCACACAAATGCACACTCCAAATATCACCGTTCAGAGACACATGCATACACACCATTTAGATCACACACGTATTCTGCATCACGGGTCAGAGACATACACACCATACATTACACACACACGCTCTACATCACAAACACATGCACATGCGTAGATGACACACAACATCGATTACACACACACACTCATCATAGATCACACACTCACACACAGCCCACAGATCACACACACACACAACATAGATTACACACACACTACGAATCACAGCTCATACAGACACATCATAGCCCATACACGCATCACATCACAGTACACACACACACACAGCCCACAGATCACACACAGTCCACATCACAACCCACACAGACACACAGCCCATAGATCACACACACACTCTACACATCACAGCCCACATAGACACAGCATGGACATGACGTCACACCACATCTCTCACACGCACTGTCCACACGTAAGTATATTGTCCTTTGACGTCACCGACAGTACAGTGCACCGTGGCTTACGTCACTCGGTACAGCATTATGTATGACGTCACACACACAACACAGCGTAGTGCGCGCATTACGTCACAGCGCGCGGTGTACTGTCGGCGATGACCCACAATCACCGTGACCCAGATGACGACCCCCCCCGCCCGCACATTCCCACCATACCCCCCCCTCATCCCCCCACCCGCCCATTCCCATAATACCCCCCCCTCATCCCCCCACCCACCCATTCCCACAATACCCCCCCCCCCCTCATCCCCCCACCCACCCATTCCCACAATACCCCCCCCCCTCATCCCCCCACCCACCCATTCCCACAATACCCCCCCCCCTCATCCCCCCACCCACCCATTTACACAATGCCCCACCCCCTCATCCCCCCCCCTCATCCCCCCACCTATTCCCACAATACCCCCCCCTCATCCCCCCACCCACCCATTTACACAATGCCCCCCTCCCTCATCCCCCCGCCCACCTATTCCCACAATACCCCCCCCCCTCATCCCCCCACCCATTCCCACAATACCCCCCCCCTCATCCCCCCACCCACCCATTTACACAATGCCCCCCCTCCCTCATCCCCCCGCCCACCTATTCCCACAATACCCCCCCCCTCATCCCCCCACCCATTCCCACAATACCCCCCCCCTCATCCCCCCACCCACCCATTTACACAATACCCCCCCCCCTCATCCCCCCCCCTCATCCCCCCACCCATTCCCACAATACCCCCCCCCTCATCCCCCCACCCACCCATTTACACAATGCCCCCCTCCCTCATCCCCCCGCCCACCTATTCCCACAATACCCCCCCCCTCATCCCCCCCCCTCATCCCCCCACCCACCCATTCCCACAATACCCCCCCCCTCATCCCCCCACCCACCCATTCCCACAATACCCCCCCCTCATCCCCCCACCCACCCATTTACACAATGCCCCCCCCCTCATCCCCCCACCCACCCATTCCCACAATACCCCCCCCCTCATCCCCCACCCACCCATTTACACAATGCCCCCCTCCCTCATCCCCCCGCCCACCTATTCCCACAATACCCCCCCCCCTCATCCCCCCCCCTCATCCCCCACCCGCCCATTCCCACAATACCCCCCCCCTCATCCCCCCACCCACCCATTCCCACAATACCCCCCCCTCATCCCCCCACCCGCCCATTCCCACAATACCCCCCCCTCATCCCCCCACCCGCCCATTCCCACAATACCCCCCCCTCATCCTCCCACCCACCCATTCCCACAATACCCCCCCCTCATCCCCCCACCCACCCATTCCCACCATACCCCCCCCTCATCCCCCCACCCACCCATTCCCACAATACCCCCCCCCCCTCATCCTCCCACCCGCCCATTCCCACAATACCCCCCCCTCATCCCCCCACCCACCCATTCCCACCATACCCCCCCCTCATCCCCCCACCCACCCATTCCCACAATACCCCCCCCCCCTCATCCTCCCACCCACCCATTCCCACAATACCCCCCCCTCATCCCCCCACCCACCCATTCCCACCATACCCCCCCCTCATCCCCCCACCCACCCATTCCCACAATACCCCCCCCCCTCATCCTCCCACCCGCCCATTCCCACAATACCCCCCCCCCTCATCCCCCCACCCACCCATTCCCACCATACCCCCCCCTCATCCCCCCACCCACCCATTCCCACCATACCCCCCCCTCATCCCCCCACCCACCCATTCCCACAATACCCCCCCCTCATCCCCCCGCCCACCCATTCCCACAATACCCCCCCCTCATCCCCCCGCCCACCCATTCCCACCATACCCCCCCTCATCCCCCCGCCCACCCATTCCCACAATACCCCCCCCTCATCCCCCCACCCACCCATTCCCACAATACCCCCCCCCCTCATCCTCCACCCGCCCATTCCCACAATACCCCCCCCCCCTCATCCCCCCACCCACCCATTTACACAATGCCCCCCTCCCTCATCCCCCCGCCCACCTATTCCCACAATACCCCCCCCCTCATCCCCCCCCCCCTCATCCCCCGCCCACCCATTCCCACAATACCCCCCCCTCATC